ACACCTTGTAGCATAATCAACTCCCAATACTTTCATAAAAGGTCACTGACTAGTCTCAACACCTTAAAAAAAATGCTAAAAATCATATGCAATTGAATCAGAATCTACGCACTTATCTCCAATGGGTTTATCCTAACAATTAAATACGATGGAACCTTAGGTAATGATAATATTCTTCAATATAAACTCCGAACCAAATCTCAAAGGTACAGTACCAAATTGAATCTCTACCACAATACTTAATCTTTGTCGACTTTTCTTCACAAATTCCACCCGATCTTGCCAAATGTATAATTGTGACCTCTTTCGTCTCTCCAATACAACACGAATACCCTTCTAAATCCTCAAGACTCTACCTCATTTAGAGAATGTGTACCTTTTGAATCAAGAGTACTTAGCGAAATAAGATTCTTCTTCAAGTTTGGAATATGTCAAACATGATTAGGTATTTTACATGTTCAACCCGCCAGCTTCAATCTGACTTTACTAGTACTGGCAACCCGACAAGATTCCTTGTTACCAGTGACAACGACACCTTGCATAACTGTTTTATATGTTTCAAATAAATTTCGATTGGGACACATATGGAACGCACAACCTTTATCCAAAATTCACTCCTCGTTAGGTTTGGATTCCATGTCAGAAATCGTCAAAACATCTCAATCGCTCAAATAGTTCTCGATTATGTTGGTCCTATTTTAAGAATTTGATTGCTTCTTATGATTTGTAATCAAATTATCTTTTGTTCAGCAATTTGTTACAATCCTTCTTAATGTGTCTTTTCTTCTTACAATAATAACAAACAATAACTTTGACTTACCCCTTCTTTGATCACCATGAACAAGAAGGCATTTTTCATCTCTGGCCTCAGTTCCATCCAGATGCTTCATCTTCTCTTTTGAAAACAAGGCATCATATACATTTTCAATGGTGAGAATATCACGATTATACAAGATCGTGTCTCTAAACTAAGTAAAGGAAGCAAGCAGCGAACACGAAAGGATTAAGGCCAAATCTTTTTCATCCATACTTTATCTCTAAAGTTTCCAAATCAAAGACGATCTCCTTGAATACAGTAAGATGATCTTCCATAGATCCGCCTTCTACCATGCGATAAGAATACAACATGTAATTCAGATACAATTTGCTTGTCAATCTTTTAGTCATGCACAATTGCTCTAACTTCAATCACAATGCGGCTACTATTTTCTCCTTCAAAACATCCTAAAGAATATTGTTAGAGAGATGAAGATGGATCTGTAAAGTGCCTCCTGATCTTTTTCATCATTTCTCCTTCGTCGTCAAGTTGTGGGCATTTTGTCAAATCTTAACGATGCATCATCCAATTCCTCAGCACAAGTACGGCTTGCATCTTCAATTGCCACAATGAAAGTTTTGTATTGCGACCCAAAAGCGAAATTTCATACTTAATGGTTGCCATCAATAATAAAAATCTCGAACAAATCACAACTAATAGCTCTGATACCTCTTGTTGGGATACAAATTGGATCAAGTAATATATATGACATGCTATAAAGTATATAATTACAAACAAACAACAAGATAAATGGAAAATAATTAATTGACGGATAAATGGAGTAATTTATTTAATTGACTAATATGGAGAAAACAAATGCAATAAATGTACTACAAATTATTCTATATTTTAGTAATACAAAACTTGTGAGAAAAGTCTAGTATTTATAGAGGTACAAGCCAAATCCTAAGAATAACACAAAAATAGAAACAAGATAAAAAATCAAGTGGAATAAATAAAAAAAATATTTTCTTAAAAATCCAACTTAATTTGGGTTAAAAT